CACAAAGAAAATATATTCAAAGTATGTTAGGAGAAATAGTAATCATAACAATAATATTTTGATATCATCAAGCAATCACATATGTTTGAGGGTTCTACCATAGAGATGAAAATAGAGTGGTTAACCTACTTTTTAAGTCCATGCCTAGTTCTTACTCCTATAGGTGGATCTCCTAGGATTAGCTCCTTAGTATGACTAGATGAATAAATCTAATATCTAGTGAAAGGAACCTGATGCTCTACTTTATTTTCTAGGTCAATAAATTCTTCTCCTTGGGTAACTTCTACCAATTCTTCTTCTTCTTATCTAGGCTCAACAGATCTACCAGATTAATCAAACACTACATGGGTGGCTACTCTACCATTAATATCCTCCTATTGAAAACTCTTTAGGTTTTACTTTTAAAAGAATATCCTAGGAAAACTCCTTCATTAGACTTAGGATTGAATTTTTCTAATAGAAATTTTTCATTTTTTATAATGAACACCTTACAATAAAAAACATTAATGTGAAATAGATTGGGTATCTTATCTTTGTGTAATTCATAGGGTGACTTACTGAGTTTTGATCTGACATTAACCCTATTAAGAACATTACAAGCAATATTCACTACTTTAGCCTAAAAATATTTAGGAAGTGAATAATTAGCTAGCATGGCTCTAGCAACTTCTACCAATGTTTTGTTCTTTCTTTCAGTAGCTCCATTCTGTTGAGGGGTTCTAGGAGCTGAAAAATATATTCTATTCTTGGCTCCTTTTAGAATGATTCAAACTTATCATTTTCAAATTTCTCACCATGATCACTTTGGGTAGTTGAAATTTTTCAACCTAATTTCTTTTGAATCCATATGGAGAATGTCATACATTCCTTGAATAATTCATTTTTATGTTATAACAACCTAATCTAGGTAAATCTCAAGTAGAAATTAATAATCACATATCCATATGTTTTCCCACCTAAGCTAGAAGTGCTAATCAATCCCAAAAAAAATCATGTGAAGGATTTTTAAAGGACTAAAGTTCGTGATGTCCTTGACTGAGTGAAATGAAGTTTTCATTTGTTTTCCTAGTTGGCAGGCATCACAAAGGTTTCCTCATAGATTTTTAGTTTGGGTATGCCTCTAACTAAGTCCTTTCGAGTTATCTTTTTAAGTGTTTTTATGCTTGCATGGCATAGTCTTCCATGACATGGCTAGGATTCATCAGCAATAGCCTTTGAACATAAAGAACTAGTATACTCAATATAATTAAAGTTAAGTATGTAAACATTATTCATTCTTTTTATTTCTAAAATAATATTTTCAATTAAACTAACCATACAACTAGTAGATAAAAATTTAATATCAAAACTTTTGTTACACAATTGACTAATACTAAGCAAGTTATATTTCAAAACATTTATTACAAAAACATTTTTAATAATCAAATTCTTAAAATTTTCAATAATACCTGAACCTACCACTTTCTTATTTGTAATATCTCCAAGTGTAACTTTGCCTCCTACCCTGGCCTCTAAAGAGATGAATTATTTCATATCTCTAGTTATGTGATATGAGCATTCATTGTCCAAGTACCACATGCTCTCATTAGGATTTTTAGTAGAGCACTCCTCATCTTGATCAGATTGATCAAGATTATCATTAGCCATTAGACATAGATTAGTTACCTCCCCCTCTGCTTCCTATTCTGATGATTTTGAGGCAGAGTTAGCCCAAAAAGCCTTGTGTCATATTCTTTCCTTTCCTGGAGTTTTTCTTAACAACACCCTTCTCCTTAATCATGTGAGTTTAGAAAGTTGGGGTAATTAGATCTCAGATGCCTTGCCTTCCTACATTCAAAATAGATTATGTCAAATGAATCTTTAGAATTTAATTATTTTTATTTTATTGCTTATGACGTTTCTCTTTTCTATTCAGAAAGCTTTTGAACTATTGAGTCACCGGCACAATGTCATCATCCTCCTCAGCTAGAAAGCTATCACTATCAGAGTTTTGAAGCCATTATTTTCTTGTTTTTCCTATCTTTTACATCATGCAATAAGATATTCAACATAAATTATTAGACTTCACTAGTACCTTCATATGTAATACATAGTTTATCCCAAATGTCCTTATTAATACTGTTGGTAGAAACTCTCATGTAATATTCAGACTTAAGAGTATAGAAAAAGCATTTTAAACATTTTGCATTTAATTAAACTATGTTTTAGTTTTCATGCCATTACAAAATGAAAGGGTGTAGAATAACCTTCTTGTACCAAAAATTACATGCAAAAATTAATTGATTGTAAGAAAGTACACATACATATTTTCTAAAAATCAAACAATATGTTGTCACAAAAAGGTGGACGAGTTATATAATAACCATCTTCAGTGTTTCTATTACAGAAATGTGCCATGGATTATTTTGTCAAGTTTTTCTAAAATGCTATTTATGAGTAAGACAAACAATGTCATCACCTAATTATAGGATTTGGTTAAAAATCTATATAAAAAAATTTGTGTTAAAGAAACTTATAATAAAATTATTAAAACAAACTTATAATAATCGTCATGATGAGTTACTCAAATCAATATATTCTCAAACATAGAATTTTCCAACATACAAATTTTAGAGAAAATAAATGAAGAAAAGTAAATTCCAGAAAGTAAAACTCCGAATGAACATACTAAAATTTTATAATGATTCTATCAAATAATGACATACGTCCAATCCTCAGAGTCCTCCACTTTGACTATTACACTAAAACTTTAGTGTATTTACTTTAGCCCCCATTGCTAAGCGGAGAAGCCCTTATAAACTTTTTATCAATACGGTGCGACAGAGAGCCTTCACCACTTTTTCACCCTCCTGGTGAAGGTAAACAACCTAATAATCCTTTTTGACCCTCCTAGTAAAAGCAGAGAGACTCAACGGACTTTGGGCTCACGTTTTTCTTCCTAGAGCTACCCAAAAAACCAAGCAAGACACTCAAAGGAAATAAGGCAGAATCTTACGCAAAGAAATCGTGTGAAAACCCCTCACACTCCTCCCCACACAAACTCTCCTTTCTCCTTCCCAAAGCTCTCCAAGTTCTCTTCTCAAAACTCTCTCTCTAAAAAATCTAATAGCAAAACACTTGAATGAAGTATATTAAGAGAGCTTAAAGATAAGGCTTCACAAAAAAATCTTATTAATTCTATTCTATCAACACTGATCATAGAGTATGATTAGTTTAAATCATCATGTTAGTATGGTACGAAGAATAAGGTGTTGTATAATCAGTTTAAGTATTTGAGTTGATCGTCCAATATGATATAAGGAATTGTCCAATATGATTTATTCAATCAAATTTGATCTTCATCATGTGCTATCAATTATAAATAATTATCTTCCCATGTAGAGATTGGGTCATATAATACAATTTGTCTAATCATACAATACAATCAGACTGAAATAATTAATCCAAATTTGATCCCCTAATTATAGGATTTGGTTATATCGTATAGCATTATTTATATTGTACGGTATGATTAGTACAAATTTTAAATTTTAAAATATTGCCTAAAATATAATTGGTGGTTGGAATCATGATTTTTATGTATTATTTTATACGATATGAATCATACATTACAATGCGTAAAAAATATTAATTATGCTAATTAGCTATTATAATGATTTTTCAAATAACTGATCGTACAATATGATATGGATCGTACAATTAATTCAAAAAAATTACACTTCTAATTTTTTTTATCTTTCTCACTCCCCTGAGTGTGTGTGCATGATCACCAAGTTTAGCATCAACCAAATACAAGACTTTGACACCAAAAAAAAATATAATTAAAAAAAGTAAAAATACAGACTCTTAAAAAAAACATACTCTTAAAGAAACTTAAACTTATTCTACCATATATGTAGTTGATCATTTGCGCGGTGTACGACAGAACTGAAATGTTTGTACACAAGAGTAAATACCAATAATAATAATAATAATAACAACATGATATGACATAGTAGGCAAATCAATAATATATATTATCATCAAAATCACAAGACCTGCATCCATATTTGCAATATAGACTAAAAAGATTCACCACAGCATCATAGTGCCACATATCATCTACACAACATTGCTAGTTTTCCTAGGAGCACTATAACTCCATAGCTAATGCCACGACAATTGTCAGTTATGAGGGTTATTTTTGTAGTGAATATAATTATATGGCTAAATTTCTTTAAGTGGACATTTCTATAGGTTTTATTTTTTCCTATATATTATAGTAAAGTAGATGAGGGAAAGAAGTAGAGCATGCAATTGGACTAGGAGAATCGGGCTCTAATTTGGGGTAAATCAAACATTTACAATGATTCCAATGAGCTTGATAGTGATGCAAAAATATTTATACTCAAATCCACAATACAAATTAATAGACTAATTTACATCACACAAATTCACCAAATCAATAATATAAATTTAGAGTTCTTTATAAATTTAAGAAACTAAAAAATACCTTTAATTTTCTTCTTTGCCTCACTAAAAATTGCTATTGGAAAGATAAATTAAGTGGTTAAAAAAGAATTGGTGTTTAGCTTATAAGATCAACATGAGTGTTCCCCAGGGAATGATAATTTACTCAAATTATTATATTACTTGAACAACACAAGCCTTGTGTAACACTATTTAGCTCGATCACTCCTCTCCTCAATTTGAGAAGATGGGACTATAAAGTTTGGAATATTAAGATGATCTCCTATTTACATAATAAAGATTGCTAAAGAAGCAGTTGTTGCTAATGAAGGCAATCAAGAGATGGTAGACTAGAGATGAAGGTTTGACAACTCTAGTCAAGAGAAAATGAACAAGTGATGATAATCGAGTAATGAAAATATAGAGATTGCTATCAAAATGACACTATCGAGCTCATCTCGTCAGTCTATAAGCAAGTTTGAGTCAAAATCAAAAGCCAGCTAATCCTAAGCTTGCTTGCTATTATTGCACTATTCTAATCCATCAATGACTTTTCTGGCTAATTAATCAAGTCCAATTTGCTGCAAAGAGCCAGCTTGAACAATTATTATCACCTGTATATGATACAGATCTAATTCTCTAATTCCAAATTCATTCTTAAATATCAGCGCAGAAAATATTTTTAGTAAATTAGCTACATATTGTTCTCTGAAATTATGATCCTCTGAACTATCGGGCAGACCAATAATTTGCTATATTATCTTCCTGGAATGTACAAGTCATTGCCATTGTAGAACCTCCAACGCCTGCTTGTGCAGCTCAAGGTCACCAGCTGCCGCCACATTGAAACCTAAAAGGGAATTTAGGAACAAGGAAAAATATATATATTGTAAGATAAACCAAATAGAACCTCTTAAATATTTAATTCATCAATCAGAAATTTCTTGTAGTTGTCTGCTTGCAGTACTAAAATGAAGAATTAGTACAGTGAAGTTCTGGAATTATCAATGGCATTTGCTCTAATAACTAAATTACTGATTTATAAAATTTAAGTAGACTGAAAATGAAGGGCAGATATCTAATGCCAAAACAATCATACCCATAACACACGAGTCCGGTGATGGCATCCAGTGAAGCTTATTTCCTTTCCAGTCTGTTACAGATCCTCCGGCTCCTTCTATCACTGGAACCAGTGAGAGAAAATCATAGGGCTGTTTGAGCATAATGACAACTTATGTGAGTAATTGCTGCAAATGCAACCATCTCTCTCACTCACTCTTTATATATATATATATATATATATATATAATTGTATGCGAAAATCAATTTACACTGGTTAGAATTAGGGAAGTCAATTTGGGTTAACTAGTTAGATTCAAGTCTGACCCAAAGTTCATCCGATCAGAATATGCCTAAGTCGAACATGACCAACTTATCATATAAGTCAAAATGTTTCACCTGAATCCAAACTCGACCGAAATCCAACCCATTTGACCTGTTTCTCATATAAATCTTGCTTTTTTTTAGAACAATGTGTACCGTTTAAGCCAAATACAACTAGTTTAACTCAAAAATGACTCATTCAACTCGAACATGAATGATAATAAGGTCAATTTTGAGTAAGTTTCGAGCTTTCAGGTTAACTTAATCCGAAAATTAATCGGTTTAAGATTTCATATCCAAACTTGGCCCAAGCATTATTCCATCCAATCTAAACCAACATTTTTCGAGTCGACTTGAGGTCAGTCCAATTATTGATACCCCTAGTTGGAATATTAATCAGTCAAGACAAAAAAATTGACAAAATAACTTCCATATCACTTTCTAGAATATTTTGGTAGGAAAGAGTGGGGACTCTCTCCCTCATACGCACACATACTGACATCCCTCTAACCATTTTACTGTCCCTTTCTTCCAGTAAAGAAAATAATTGCTTGAAATAAAAAGCAAGGATCAAGAAAAAACTCCAAAAAATGATTACCTTAAGCCCAGATTCAACAACAAGATCCACAAACCCAGAAGCCAGAAGCGCATACGCATAACAATCACAGCCATATAATGGGACCTTCACCTTAACTTAGCACAAAACAAGGAAAGTAACACATTAGTAAGCTATCCTTATGAAACCCAGCCCACCAAAACATGAATAATAATTCACGACAACAACAACAAAAATGGAATGATTCTATCCAAGCAAGCAAACCTTATTTCTCAAACGACTAAAAGCCAATTCAGCCTCCCCAGTAAAAAGATGTGGGCTTGTAGTGTAGCTGTTCAAAAATACAGGCAGAGAATTAAAGCCAATAAAAAATTGATACTTAGTTTCATAGCCAATAAAGAAAAAAGTAGCAAAATTTTCAGAAACTCAAGAATGCACAAGGTACACACAGGTAGGCTTGAGAAAGTTTGCTGCATGTCCTTGTAGATACTTCCCGTCCATTGAGTGTGGTTGTTTTCCCCTCTATCCCAATCCATCTCTCTCTGAGAATAGGTTGGTCAATGATGCCAAGAATCTAGATAAAGAAGGAAAAACAAAGGCTTCAACATACACACCTAGCATGCGATGCAAGAGGTAATCAACCAGATTATAATTAAACATATATCACTGGATAACTAAATAGAGAAACCACTGCCGGTGAGAGATGCTGCAATGGTAAGCCAAATCAGGATGCAAAAGATTGATGCAGATTGATCACTGGAAGAGTTTGTTACTTATGCTCAAGGAGTCATGCGACTTCTCAAAGCATTATCATTTTAAAGGGTGAGTTCCCCAGGTATTTGAGACATGTTTGCAATTATAAACTCACTGTCTTAGAAACCAACTCATGTAGAAGTTATGAAATAATATATAAGTACAAAACACAAAAGATAACAGAAGTTTATTTATTTTTTATTATAGATGACTTCATGTTGGCAAGTACAAGCAAAATTCCCTTCCGTGTAGAATATTTTTCAAGTCATTCGCACTCCACATCGTCCGCACCATCTTTCCTAGGTTAGTCTATAGCTGATATGACCGTGATCTGACCTATCTTTTGATAATCTAAAGGCCTTCCTAAATAGATCCAAGTTTGCCTAGTATGGACTGGCGAGCAACCGCATCTGTTTTTCTGAGAACTAGGTCCCATCAGTGGTAAGACTTCTCCTTAATGTGTGTTGTGATAGTTAGCCATCCTCTTTACCTCTTCTTGTTTGAGTGTGGCTTATGCTCTGAGCTCTTGATTCCCTGCTCCCATTCGTTAAACTTGCCTCACTAAAATTGGCAGCAGCGACACTCACTAATTGTGTAGATCAAGTTCCACTGGAAGCAATGCCTTGACGTCATGAGAGAGGGAGAAAGGTGTGTGCCCAGTTGCAAAAGATGGTGTTATTCTCAATGCCAAAAACAGAGGGAAACACCTCCGCACATTTGTCTTTTTCTCCAACCTTCTTTCCAAGGAGATTTACAATTTGCTTCGCTGCTTCTACCAGCCCGTTAATTTGCGGATAGTGCACTAACATATGAATTTGAGATGAATGTTTTGTGACTTGCGGAAATCTTTGAGACAATTATCGACGAATTGAGACCCAATGTCACTGATGATGTTAAGGAGCAAGTCATGCCTACAGATGATATCCATCCAGAGGAAGTTATGGAAAAAATTGGAGATCATCTTGGCAACTGCCTTGGCTTCAATCCATTTAATGAAATAATCAATCACCACCAATATGAATGTTTCTTTGGCAATTGGATGATGGGAAAGGTCCCAAGAGGTCCATCTCCCACACAATGAATAATCATGGACTGCTGATTAGCTAAAGTTTGTGGGATGGCAACAACTAAATTGGGGCTAATTTATTATATTAGGGCCGTTTCTTTAAAAACTCCTTAGCATCTTTTCCGAAAAATTAGCCAAAAGTATCCAAGATTTTGTGAGGGTACTCAGGTGGATGAGTGGCTTTAAACTTAGACAAAGAATGTGAAACGACTATATACATGAAAGTTTGGAGTAGCTCCAATGACATATAAGATTAGAGAGTCGTCTTAGATGAAAATGTCGGTCTTCCGATGACCTATTTAAGAGAGTAGATGTACTAGATCTAGTCTACGTTAAGAAAGTGTTGACCCCTAAGCTAAAGCCAAAAGGAACAAACAAAAAAAATATAATATGATTTATGCTAAAACATTACATGTGCTCTGCTAAAGCCACCCCGTATCTCTGCCAAGACCCAGCCACAACTACAGTAATCAATCCCTGTGCAAGTTGGCACCGAATAGTGACATCCTTACCTGCGTAGCTAGCTTCTACCCCACTCTTCAGCAACGTTAAAAGGAGAAGAAACGAGGACATTCGGCTCCTGCTCTCTTCTCACATAAAACCCCCGCAGCTCTAGCGACCTCCTGTACGCACGCATTCTGACGCCTTTACCGAAGCCGAATCCAACCTCCCGTCCTCCTGCCCTGCTCTCTTCTCACATATGCAAAACTCCCACAGCTCTTGCTCTCATCTTCTTCCTCGACTCCTCTCTGACCTCCGGCCCTAGTCGCAATCAAATCCACCTGCTGCTTCTGATTCCCCCCTTACCCTTCCAACCATTGTACCGAACCACTACATAACAACAGCAACAACTAAATCTCTTTTAAAACCCGAACGAACCAACAAGCCTTCCTCCGACCTGCTCCAGACAGAACGCAAGCCCGACTCAAACTCCACCAAATCCCAACCTTCACTCCTACAGACGTCGGCCCTCACACGAACAGCCCCAATCGACCCCTTCTTCACCTAAGTCGAGACCTCCAGCCCCTGTACCTAGTTGAACATGTAGTATTTGAAGCCACCTCCTTCCTATTCCCTCAACTGAAAGCTTCCTATCCCTAGACCCTCCATACCTTCTGCAATCCTTTGGTCCATACAGAGAGAGAGAGAGAGGAAGTCTTCTCCTACCTCAACTGAGCATACCCACGCACGACCCAGAGCTGCCATTCCTTCCTCCGTTCTTTAGGTAGCCGCAAACACCTATAGCCGATTGACTCCAGGTTCAACTGAATCCGCCACTAGAGCCGCTCGACCCTGCACCTTGTCCGACTCTTGCTCTACCATAGGTCTTTAACCCGACGCCTCCTCTTCATAGCCCAGCCAAATCCTCAGGTAGTTTAGGTTAAGTTTATATTAAAAACGTTTATCAATATCTAATATTATTATTAGTATTGTTTTATATTCATTTATATATATATTATAAATATTAGAAATGATCTTTCTTTACTAGATTTAAATGAGATTTTGACTTTTAACTAGACACAATGGCGAAAAAGAATTCATGTAGCCGACCCCACGTAGTGGGACAAAGGATTGATGTTGTTGTATTGTTGTATACATATGTTATAAAAATATATAGGTATTAATCTGTGTATATATTTATATACATACATTTATATATATAGTTATGTACCAAAAGAAAAAAAGAAAGAAGAGAGGAAATCCAAAAAAAATAATAGGAATGAATCCATGTTTATGGTTAAAAAAAAGGGAGAAATATTGCAAAAATAAAGAAAGAAAAAAAAAAGAAGAGGAAGAGGGGGGTCCTTTTTATTTACTTCACTCAGATTCTCATTCTTGTCGTTTGCGGCAGACCGGCAAACCCCCTATATGCGCTCTCGTAGCATGGTAGGAGAAAACCCGGTGTGGCACCTCCGACGAGGCGGTTAATCACCTAAAATCTCATTTTCAGCATTTGCAGCAGACTGACAAACCCTATACACGCTCTTGTAGCATAGTGGGAGAAAACTCGGTGCAACGCCTATGACGAGGCGGGTAGTCACCTAAAATCACATTTTCGATGTTTGCGAAGGACAGTAGAACCACCTATACGCGCTCTCGTTGCATAGTAGGAGGAAGCCCGGTGCGACGCATACGGCGAGGTGGGTAAGCCCTATACACGCTCTTGTAGCGTGGTGGGGAAAGCCATCCGTGTTTTCATATTTGTACTTTCGAAGACCCCATATATACTCTCGTAGTGAAAAGATGTATGACCCGGTATCCCCTGACACCTACCATACATGCTCTAGTAGCGTGGTGGGATGACATAGTCTCCTGAAATTTCACCTAAACGGGGGTGACGCCGGGAGGCTACCGAAATTTTCACTGAATAAGGGAACTCGGGCATGAACTCGCAATTTGAACAAACAGAGGACTTGTGGACTCAAATTCAAATGAGTACAGAGAGCTTGAACTTGCAACTTGGACTCAAAATAAATGACAACAAACTAGACTCAAATAAGCTTGAACTCGTATACAATGAACAATCAATAAGAACTCAAAAGATCAATGGAGGAATAAAGAACTTACGTTAAAGCCTTAATAGATATGAACTATTGACATGTTCATAAAATAACAACATAAGCCTCCAATGGGTATGGTGACTACATCAATTAATGATTCATCTCTATCTTCAACAAGGATTCAATTCCAAGAAAACACATTGATCCCCTACAAGAAGAAAGAGTTGATGTACAACGAATATGACTATGTCTTACATTCAATACTTATATATGAGAAGAATCAAATGAGGCTGACAAACATCCTATGAATACCTTCAGGGAGGCTTTGATAAATGTATTCAAGAAGACTATGATGAATGCACTAACACAATTTGCAAGCAACAACATAAAACTTTCAACATATGTTAAGAGATTATAATTGTTAATTAAAGTGTAAGCGTCAATATTACACAAGGGAGGGTGTAGTTCATCCTGTAGGCAAGAATGCACAACATGCACTGAATGCAGCTTACCTACAAATAATTTGAGAAGGTTGTGGAGAGGACACCAAGCATTCTACTAATGCAAATTAGCTTGTGAAGTATATGTGTGCTGCCTACACATATGGAAGGGAGTATCCAACGAGTTTGATTCACTTACAAGTATGAATCATGGAACTTGTAATACAGTGGCACACTCACAATGCAGAGAGTTTATAATAAATACAGCAGGTCATATATAAGTGGCCATAAATAATGCATGATGAATGTGTTGAGTCATTGAAAACATTCCGGATGAATATGATAGTGCTTTGCATTCAACATCAAAACATAAGCAAATGCACCTAAAATTGCAAGTGATGAAAGTGTAGGGGATATTCATAAGTGAAACATGAAGAGTATGTAAGGAGCTACAATACACGTCGCATATTGTATACAAGGGTAATACATTGGCAAAGCATAAAAACTCCTACAAGTTAATATATGAGACTCTTCATTCATACAATGACCCTACCTACAAGCAGCGATGGTGAACGCATCACCAAATACATGCATGGGATAGAAGAGCGACGAATGCAAGTACCCATTGACAACAATGAAATACTTATCATATGCATATTGACACGCTTACAAGTGTCAATCAATAGTGGATTATGGGTATAACAACACTCACAACCAACAACCATTCAATGGTCAGCAAATATGTCATTCTATTGCAAGTAAAGGAGAACGATACGCAGTAAATACAAATACCTACGGGCTACTGTAGGAAGAT